GATGACTACTGAGTGATCCAATGGCTAAGGTAGCAATAATTAAAAGTAGGATGACCGAAGAACATGCAAAATGTATTGACCAATTGTTCGGATGAGAGGAGAGGATGTCAATCTTAGTCGCAATGTCCCTGGTGGGAGGCTTAATGCTAAGAGGGTGGACAACAGCGAGTCAAATGGAGCCAACCGCAAATGAAATAAACAGACAACCCGAAAGCATAAATTTGTGGCACAATTCCAAATTCCTAGCACACACAATCGAGTGGAAAAAATTGAGTAGGCAAGTTTAGTTTCTTAATGAGGGGCAAGGAGAAGACCATGGCTTTGAAATCTCCACTATTGCAGGTGAAAAGACGGAACCAAGTAAGCAAACAATCAAAAGAGTCTGGATCTTAAGACTCCTTGAGCATCTAAGTAATTCAAAAACCCTCTCTCCCGATTTTCTCCCTTCGTCCTTTCCACAACCTGATACTTTGCAAGCAGTTGTCCGCCATGCGCCAGTCCCACTCGGACCATGTAGTTGTTCACTAAGCTGCCTGATGGGGTATCCAGACTGGAGGACGACGAAGCAGACACTGGTGGAGTGGAGGTTGACAATCCTCCTCCCCCACCACCACCACCACCACTGCTGCTACTTTCACTGCCACCCGGAGATGCTGTCACATCCACTGTTAGATCGGTGAAACTAGAGGATCCGGAGAAGAAAGAGTCGGTGTCCAATTGCTCCTAAAAAGACAAAAGGCTCGTTCAGGATGCACATTCATTCACAGAGGCATTGTGTCATAGCTTCTCACTTCCTAACAGTGAATTACTTCCATTTCCAGATGCAGTTTTTACATCGACGTGAAACGCTAAACATGTGATGATAGCAAGCAGACCAGATCTAAAAGAACAATGAACGAGATTGCTCTGTTCAAATACAGCGGTCAAGGGTCACAGAGGACACCCACAGTAAATAGGTTAATCTATGAAGAAAAGCAAAAAACAGGTTCAGCTCCCACTAATCGTTGTCCCAATCCTCTATCTCCCAGTCAGCCCATCAACGACCGAGAGATACACAACTTTTAAGTAAGAATGCAGCGAGGATTTTAGGGACCTGTAATTAATTACTACATACCGTTGAGGGGTTTTGTGTCACATTGGTGAGTTTTTGAGCAGTGCGAACAGTGAGAGAAAAGTAATCCCGTAGGTTCCACAAATCTTCGCTTTCCCCTGTCACCGCATCCTCATTATCCTCTTCCCTCACTCCAGAGAGGTCGATGACGGAGGGCAAGGGAGGAGCGACGTTGACAGCAGAAGGATAAGCTGGTGCACAACCATCATAATTCATCTCTGGAACTGGCAAGCCGAGACATTCTAGGACATCTTTGAGAAGGACCGGAGAGAGGCGAGGAATGTCATCACGTTGAAGGCATTCTTGTACGTAGGCGTAGTGTACTAGTGCAGTATCCTGTTCGAATAAGTACTCCTAAAAGGAAGAGAGAGGAGGCGACTTTTCCCGTGGCCTCAAGTTTATCTACGCGATTATCAAGCGTAGTGATATGACATTTGCTTCTGTCCAGGACACGGTTTATAGAAATTTAACAACCTTGTCAAAAATGGGGCGAAAGGATAACCACAGGGAGCTACAAAAGAAAAATCTCTGTGAAACTTTTCATAAGCAAAAGTTTATACATACAAAGCTGGTTTCCAGACCTAAAGCAGTATCGGGAATGATGATAAACACTGAAAAAAAAACTCACCTGAGAACAGCACACTTTGAGAATGTATTGAGAGGCTGAATCCATATTATGGTAGCCAACATCGCCTTGAACACGTCGCCTCTGCTCGTCAATAATTTCTTTAATTGTCGCTGCCACGGTGATTGATTTAGGTAGATTCAATTTGAGGACGCGCTGCTTAGGCGGGCTATAACAGTCTACATACACTGCCGAAATGGTAAGGCAGGGTAGACGTTGCAGACGTCGCTGCAATGCTGTGTTCAGCTTCGGCTGAAGTGCAGCCCCAGTGAGGTAGTGTGCCATGGCAACGGGCCCGCTCGACTCCAAGCGCCTAATGTTGGCTTCTGATATCGCAAGAAGGCACTGACGGGCCCAGGCTAACTCTGGGTTGCCTTCTTCTGCCGTCTTGAGATGAGCCTGAGATATGGTGGATATTCTAACGGAGGCACAAAGTAGATCCTGAAGATCAGATCAAAAGTATCCACAAAAGAGAATAACTAATTAGTAAAACCCACTTGGCAATCATCGCATTCCTCTTCTGTTCAATAATTTGAGCATCATCAGCAACTTTTTCTAGACGCATGAGAGGTAGGAGGAGCTGAAGACCAACAAACTTGCATTGCTCATCGTAAAATTCCTCCTCCTCCGCCTTGAGTGATGAAATACCTTGAAAGAAGTAGTCGTTTGGAGGACCCAGACATTCGTAGAAGGGTTCTTTAGAAGCCAGCTCCCAGAGGTGAGCCTTCAGGTCCGCCAAGGTCATATCTGGGTCAGGCTGATGGCGACGAATCAAATATGTTCGTTGAGGTCTTCCAAGTGATCACAATGCACGGCTATTCATTTTGACTAGAGACTGTCGGTTCCTTATTTATCATTCGAAAACTGCGTTTCAATGGTCTGAGATGCAAGCAGTAAACCTAGATACTACAGTCAAATCAAGGCCTAGTTTGGCACATAAGACAAATATGCAATCTGTGGGTTAGGCAGCTCATATAATGCCGCTGACAGTCCCATATATATCGAATGACACTTCAGTGTGAGTAAAGTCTCCACTTTTAAGTGCATGATTTGAAATCACAGAGGATTGATCTGGATGGAAAGTAAAAGCAGGTTTTTAGAGAAGATTTTGATTCCAGAAGTCCGGTTTACATAAACCGGCTTTCGGAAGACCTTTCCTGAGCATGCTCCAGGTTGTACACGCCGTATTGAAGACCTTTTGTAATGAAGCGTCCTCAGTATAAAACAGGTGGAAATGGATATTAAAGTGCACTACGACACTATTTTGTGGAAAAACAATTTACGCCATAATTTGACTGATACATGTGAAGTTTCATAAAAGCTTCAATTACCATAGTCAACGGTAATTAAAGGGTAAAATACAATTTACAGATGCACTAAAATTCCTGTGTCCAATAGACAGAAAAGTGCGCACATTAAAAGTAAGTAAATCTTGACATCACTGATAGGAAATAAGACAGCAAATACCTTCAAGGATAGAACAATACCATTGGGCATCAAAAAGTCATGCTCCATCGACGAACAATGCTGGAACATGTGGTCCAAACCCTCCAGTGTGGTTGGAGGCATCTTGGTTCTTCTAAAGGAATTAGTAAAAAATTCATGTTTACATCTGTTCATAATTACTGGACACTGACAATAACTAACCAATTCAAGCAGAGAGTGTGCAGCAAACCATCCTGCTCCTATTGTCAAAAAGGCAGGAAATGGTAGCAACGAGAATCTTATGAAGACAGAAGAAATTTATTCAATCCGATTACTTATCCGAACTTTAACGCATAATAACGACTTCAAGTGAATCCACTAAGGATTATTGCAATTTTAACAGTATAGGTCTATCTGACGCGCCATAAAGAGCGGAGATAAGTATATGTGAAGGTTGGCAAGAAATAGTTAGCGAAAATTGTAAAAAAACAAGTATTTGGATTAGACATAATGCAAAGGAGCATAAAACCTGAGATACGTTCTAACCAATCACATGGGAAGTTAGCGTCTAACCAATAGGGATTATGCAATGGTCGATGAAGGCGGCAGTAGACCTTGAAATAAAACAGGTGAATGTGAACATGGTTTAGCTAAACGTTTCATGAAGGCAAAACGATAAAGAGAAGCGTATGTAGGCAAGATCAAAAGAAACATGAACGGACTTAAAAAAACTCCAAAAGTCTTGCTTAGAGGAGGAATGATGTTAGTGTATTAAAGTAGTACTTAAAAATGGATCTGGTCGCTCTTAGCTACATAGAACGCTATATGATTAGGACGTACAACTAATATATCCCTTAGGCCTATTATTATAGGCCCGTGTTTTAGTCTTAGGTTTTGATAAATCGTATTCAGGACGCAGGTATGGTGGTACATTCGTGCCGAATTTATCATATGCGGTTAGGCTTTCGGACCATACGAGTTGGTATGTAATGTTAAACCTCTTTATTGATAGTAGGTGGCATGTACTGCTTTGGTTATGAGATCACATGACGTTTGACAGTCGCTTTAATATTTGCCTGGTCCTTGTACTCGTGGGCTGGTCTTCGGGCCATGCTCGTGCCTAGTCGCTCCGTTCTCTTCGGAGTACATGTATCCGGCCTCCTTTACTGCCTTCTTCCACCCGGCGAGGAGTCTTTAGACGCTACAGACGGTAGGAATGTGCTGCTTATGTTTTGACAGGAGGAGTATAATCCTCCCCTCTCTTCCTCCGACCGATG